GTTCTTCTTGTTTCTTTTCTTTTTCCTCCAACAAACTGCTGTAATCTTTCTTCTTGTTTCTTTGCTAAGCTGTAGTTTGATTTGGCACTTCTGGTTTCCATCTTTTTTTTCTTTTTCTTTATCAATCCCACTTTTGACACCAATTTGTTACGTCTCTGGTCGTTTGTTAATTTCCCTTGTAATTTCTTTCGGATGAAACTTTAGCGACACAAGTCCTTTCTTAAATAAAACTAGTTTATTCTTTCTCAATTGAACTTTTCAATACACTTAATTTCCACAGTTACTTTAACTTAACCAGACGCTATAATTCACAATGATTTATGCACTTTACTACCACGCTTGACTCAATTGTCCATATCTGTCTGTCTGCAATTATCTCTATATCCATGCCGTCACTTCCCGCCAGTCTTATATACATGAAATAGAGGGCGTCTGGAGAACACTCGAGGCTTCACAACGGACATGATCTTTCTAGAATCCCATGACGGGTTATTAGCGTCATGTGACTTCTGCTGTCGTAACAATATCTGTAACGTTTTTTCTTTCTTTCTTTTTTTCTCTAAGTGCAGGCTGAGTCTGCCAAGGTAGTACCTATTGGCTTTCAAAAAGCATATTTAGTATTTTTGTATTAAAAATGAAAATACCTACTCATATAGGCAACAATTTCTCTCATTATCAATGTGGTTAGGTTGATAATAGAAGATGCCATGCAATGGAATAAGTATGTAGGTGTATTGGTAAAAGCTGCAATGGTTTAGTTTCTCTATCTAATCTTTTAATTCCATGAAGTAGTTGTTTATTTTATAAACCTATTGAATTTGCTGAGGATGTGATATTGCATAAAACTGAGTCACCAGATAATCATAATATGGAGTTTGTTGCCAGATATAAGGCAGATTATTTTTTTTGTGAAGTTGGTATTTTGAATTTCTTCTAGATACAAGCACGTGATAATGATGATGGAGATTTTGCCAAAATCACATATTCCATTTATCATGTCTCGAATAATGGTTGGGACAAATTTAGAATTGAGCCAGAATCTGGCATTGTGGAAGTCATTGGAAAAGTTATTTCTGGAGAACAGTATAGCATTACAGTTCAAGCGACAGATTCAGGAGGAAGGTAAAGAGTGTAAATTTTATTTTCTCATATATTTTTATGGTACATTATAAAAAGCTGTTTTTAGATATTATACTTATGTAATTATCACTACGATTAAAATAGGTTGATCTACTTTAAAATAAAGTCTTTAATTAACCATTTTAAAAGAGTATTAACATATGCATATTTCTAAACTGGTGTTAGGGAAAGTTTAATAAACACATAAAATATCAGATTGAGGGCTTATAATGCTAATGATTTGGGTTTTTATGCCTTCTATGGCACAATGCAGATAGCCAGCCTGCTGTACGACTTTGTGCTTTAAGTAATTTTATGTGAAGAAGGCACAACATTACAAAGGAAAAGTCTCAAAAAAATGTGTCTTCCTATTTTTAATATATATAGTTAATGCAACCAACAATGTTACTTGTTTCTGCAACTGAGGGGAAGTAAATCAATCTGATAAGCCTAGAAGTGAAAAACACAATTCATAGGTGTGATAGTGCCAACTTTCTTTTACTTTTGTAGTGTGCAATGTTGTTAATTTTTTAAGGAAAATAAGTAGAATATCATTATTTATATATATATATGATTAAGTAAAGTAGTAAGCTAAATTCAACATTCGTTATTAATGCAAGTGGCTGTTTACATCTTACAGCAAAGCTTTTGTGATACAGATGAGTTAAAACATAATTTGTGTTTATGATGAGTGTATACAATATCTTTAGTTAAATGGGATATTTTGTCTGAAATTTGTCTTGTAATTTTCCTCAGAATTCAATCTATACTTTTTTTTATAAATAATTGTTTGCAAGTTTCAGTTTTAAATATATATCATTGTATTAGAAATTATTAAAATATGACTAAAAAATACTGTGTATTGGGTGTTGTGATTTAAAGTAATTACCTGTAGAGCTTCACGAATGGTCATGGACTTCCCTGTAATTTCTTTTGTTTTTTTACACATTTGTATGTTTTAAGTGATTTGAGGTTCTTTAAGAAACTTAAACTACTTTTATATGCATTTTGCAATAATCATATAATTTATAATTCTTTCTACATTTACAAAATAATATATATATTTCATTAAAACTCTTACATAATGTGGAAATTCTGAAATTTTTAAATTACAGTTTTTGAAAGTTGTAATACTTCTGCATTAGTAATATACAGGATTATACAAAAATTGTGCATCATCACGATATTTTACAGTTCCATTCTTGCATAATTTTTCGAAGTCATGTTTGTGTTTCACTTAACTCTTTACTTTTTTGCAAAATTTGTTGGGATATCATTGACTTTGCAAGAAGGTGTGGAAGTGACCCTTTAGTATAGGGATTCTGATTTGAGTCAGTATCAGGTTGTGACATGCATTATTTATTTAAAGGCATTCTAAGCTTAACATGCCTTTGTTTTGCTGCTGGTTGTTTACTCATCAAGTTTTGTGGTAATAGTTCTTTGGTGTATTATAAATACTGGTAAGATCTACAGAATTGAATGAAGAGATTTCAGATACAGTAGGAGGCCTTCTCTTAGAGAGCCAAATGAGATCAAATTGCTAAATTACACAAGAAGCAGGAAAAAGCCATAGAAGTGTACTCTAGATTCTAAAGCAATGTAACTTCAATTTTTATAATTTTTACACATCCTAGAAGTTTACCTAAGTTAGCATGTGGAGTTTTGTGACTGATTCATGTTGTAGAAAGAACAGGTGTTTGGAAGATGAGGCATAATTTTATATCCATGGTGAAATGATCTGCCACAATTGCTGATACTGGTCCTAATAAAAAAAACAATAAGAAGTTGCAGAAACTCAAAAGCATGGAGGAGATGGAGCGATGGTTTAGTGTAGCTTGATGGGATGTCATTTTGTTGGCCAATTTATTTATCAAGGGGACACTGGTGGAGAAGTATACTTTGCTCTTTTGCATGTACATGCCTGGTGATCATTGACATGCGAAACATACTAGAGTGCACTACCCAACTACAGATTAGATCTTATGTAATACCTGGATTTCATTTTTCCTGAAAGACTGAAAGTATGTTATAAACTAGTAGCTGCTCTTCTGATCTTATTGCATTAGACTTTTCATTTGTGGAGTACATCAAACACTTGGTTTTTATCATAAATCCAAATAACCTTGAAGATTTGAAGCAGAGAATCACAACAGTTTGCAACAGTAACCTCACAAATGCTACAAAATATGAGCTGCAACCTGAGCAAAAGAGTGATGTTTTGTAGTAATACCAAAAATACACATTCTGAATAGTTGTAAGAGCAGTACTAAGAAAATCATGATGGCAAACAACTTTTGGATTATTTTGAATGCGTATTTATATTTTCAATTATAAATTACTTTACAGTTGTAGTTATGCAAGTTAAATATTTCAGACTGTTATGAACAATGCCTAAGCAGAAATGTAGTTAGTAACTCATTAGGAAAGAATATCCTTCTTCTAATATGTTATGAATTGCCAGATTTACACAGAGCATCTTGGATGTGATAGTAATTCCAGGACCAAACACTAGAGGGCCTAAGTTTCTGAAAGACAGCTATGAGGTTCAAGTGAGCGAAGGAGCTTCAATTAATTCAGCAGTCTTACCTTTATTGGTATGTTATTATTAATACTATTATTATTATAAATACTATTGTTATGCTTAAAGAAATATGTGTCATTCCTCTCATGTAATATGTCAATTTGGCAGAACTTTCTAAATCTATATTCTAGAATTGACTAAAGAATTTTCACATTAAGTTTGGTTATCCATGTGACTGACATACGAGGAAGTTTTCAAAAAAATTAATTTAACAATTTAAAATGTTATTGTTTTAGCTCAGTAAAGAGACCAGTAACAGAACAAACCACAGTTGTGACAATGAGCTTATCAGTCTTAATTAACACAGGCTGATGATCATTGTAAGCAGTGCATTTTGCTTCTATTAAACATCTCACACACTCAAGTCCAATAAGTTACATCTTAGCAGAAACTCCAAATTTGAGGATCCTCATGTCTTAATCTAAATAATAGGAAGCATTAGTTAATAGAAAGCATTTGTTTTAGATAAAATACATATATAATTTTCAATCTTAATTTTAGAAAATTTAAGTTTTAGAACCGAATTATATTATAAGTGACAATTTATATGATAGCTGTTTGTTCGGTAGTACCCTTTAGCATCACTGTGCCTTTGGTGTTTTTACATCCTCACATTATTTTATGTCAGCTGAACTCGTGCTATGTTAGTGACTTAATCACGTGTATCTGCATTTTCTACTTTTAGCAAAAATAAATTGTGAAAATATTTACTGAGCAAATATAGATAAAAATTGGTCAATCAGTTATCCTTTTGTAGCTAACCCTCAAATTACCAACTTGTATGTTTCACTACCAAAGGTCCAAATATTGCATCATATTGATTGTTGCTTTTTTTGTGGGAAAAAAAGTGGATCAAATCACTAATTTGTTATGTAAAAGTCACACGAAATCTCAACAATAATTTGTGGGATTAATTGCAGTATCAATGGTACTTTTGTTTAAATTTTTATGTGTGACTCGTATGTTATTAGGGACACTTAACCCACAATATCTTGAATTCACAAATAATTTGGTGTATAAATAATTTAGAGAAATGTGTTTAAAAATCCAGTGGTGACCTATTGATAATTCTAGGGTTAATATAAAAACTGAACAAAAGCACTGAAGATAAAGCAAACATTATGAAGTACTCCTGCTGGTATTTGTATACTTATTCAATCAAAGTTTGGAAATGCCACTTCTGGCATGTTAATATTTTTCAAAGAATGGAATGGATTTTGAAGTTAGTACAACAATATGGAGACAGATCTCTGGGATAATAATATGTGTACCTAATATTTATACATATGAAAAGTAACCATTGTAATTAAATCTCTATAATAAGAAATGCCAACATTTGCAAGCAAATGCAATATGTCATCCCCTCAACCATCTTATTTGATAAGATCCTCAGAATACAGTAGAATTCAAGAGACAATGGTATTCAGGGTAGCAGAATGGTCATAAACTACAACATATATATACTTCAGATGGATATACACATAGTATCAACTTAAGACTTTTTTATGAGAAAGATAAACTGGAGCACATGAAATTGTGACCTTATAATACATAGGATAGTCAGTTTCTGCATATATAGATTTATTTACAATAGCAAAAACTTTACAGATAATATTTGGGCAAATAAAATCTGTTCTTTGGTATGTGTAATTTCATACAATTTTTGAGTCAAAATGCTATTTATAACAACTTTTGTAATTTTTAAACAGCTTATCTGGCCAAATAATTCACAAAAATAAATTAGTAGCATCAGTGCTGCATATTCTTGAAATTCCTGTATAAATATAGGATTAATGTGCGAGTAAAAGGCATTTCAAAACACTGTGCATTTATCTACATTATTTTACTACAATAGCTAATCAAATGTTACCTACAAACCTTGTTCTCATCATGAGTCTGTAAATATTCTCTGAAATTCAGACTACTTTACTGAATGCAATTTTTACCTCATGATGACCCAATACTGTTGGCTGAAATGTTGTAATCATTAACATCAGAATCTTCTTATTGTAAAAGTTGCTGTTATGATATTTTATGAAATGTGTAATAAATATTAAATTACATATCTTAAATGTGTTATCTAATCTGTACGTATTGTGATAGAATGAGGACTAAGAAGGTTTGTGTCAGATGCAAAGGCTGATTTGTTTCTCAATTTGTTCATATAGTTCATAAAACTAGATAAATGTCAGAAAAAAAAGTAATGCATGGTGTATCCTATATTAAACAAGTAAAGAAAAAGCTTTTCACAAAAGGAAGTAAATGTAGGGATGGCTAATATCAATCTTACAAAACCAATGGAAACAAGATAGTAGAGATGGTATTTGCATAATCCCTACATAATAGCATAGGCACACAATGTAGCAGAATGTTAACAGACAAAATTAGGATAAATTAAATTCAATTCTGACTGAATGGTTACACATATTGCTATATGTTAATTCTTGCCTGAACTATTATGTAGGTATGATGCAAATATTATCCCTGTTGTCTTGTTTTGGAAGAATTGATATTAGCCATCCCTACATTTACTTCCTTTTTGGAAAGTTTTTTTTTCTTTACTGTTTGCTTGTTTTTCTTAATGCACTGTTTCAATACACATAGGAAGGCTGTATTTACAACCAAGTTCTAAATACATGATGTTTATGAATTACTGGCTGGTAATTTCTGTTTCATCCTGTACTTAAGCTTTTTAAAGGAACAGCACATTTCTGTAACAAAGCTAACTTCAAGGGATAATGATAACATTGTTAACATGAGAATTATGATTTTTTAAAATGACTACTAGTTGTTAATAATACTTATAAAAGTGGATACTCCATTTGAAACTATGTCACCTCAGTGAAATTGTTTGACACCATTGTTTTGGTGACTCAATCATTACATAAATATTGTTATAAAACAAAACACTGTATAGTACTATAAAGTTCTGATGACCTACTAGGAGATATTTAAAATACCATTTTGATGAACAATCCAAGTCATCCCTACAGAGACAGTGCTACCACCTGCCTGATGAACAGAATGCCAGCAGATTGTTCAAATGTGCAATGCGAAAATAATATTATTAGTAGTAACTTAGTAGATCTACTTCATAATATACATTACAGGTATATTCATTATAATAATACATCCACAGAATAAACAAAACATAAATCAAAAGTTAATGCAAGTAGCATGTAGTACATAATGAATTGAAATGGTTGTAGGCCTACATATCCATTTCAAAGTAAAAATAGAATATGTGAAAAATAAAGTCACTACAAAGCATTGTTGGATACTCACATGACAGAGTAAGAGATGAGAGCGTGTGTTACTAACCTTGAGCTACACACATTCATACAGTGAATATTAAAATACTAATCTGTCAGAAACTTAGTCATAGCATCAACTGAACTCACAGTAGTGAATGTATGCATAAAAATTGAAGTAAACCCTTGAGAATATTTGTTTTTATTATTTTTTCACACATTAAAATTCAAAAAGTAAGTTATTGCTTACTAGTTTTTAAACTTAATATATGTAGAACAGTCATTATTAGTTTTTTGTCAGCATATGTACTGTTTTTAATAGGTTTTTCTAAATTTGTAATGTTGTTGATATTGTCAGTTTAACTCCTTATCTTTCAATTAAGTATATGTCAGACACCACTTCTAGTATAGTAAAGATAAAACTGTTTTGAAGTAAACTTAAAACTCAAACTCTTTAACTATTTTCTATTTATTTTTTTTAATTTACTCTGTATCCTTCTCATTACTTTCTTTCTGTCTTAGGCTGAGGATCCTGAAAGTGATGATGTTCATTACTCTATTATTGAAGGGAACATAAATGGTGACTTTTTTGTAGATTCCAAGAGGTAAGAAACTGAATGTACTCCAAGAACATTCACTGATGTAAACATCAGGTTGTATTATTTTATGTGGATTTCCTTTCAGTGGAAGCCATATATTCAAATGAAAACCAGTCATAGCAATTGCTTATGTTTAATTGCTGGACAGGATATGTATTCTTACTAAACTTGTGTGTCCACGTACATGCAGTAGCACAGGAACTGGAGTGGCAGAGGTTGCCCTGAAGTGCAATAATTCTTATGTGGTCTAAAACAACAACAAATATTCCATTTAGAGATTCAAGTTTTCATTTGTCAAAATTAAAAAAAACATGTATATTGTATTATGTCACTGGTTTATCACCAGTGCTAGTAATATTCATATTTTTATATATCATAGAATTGTTGTTTAAGATCAGTTCTGTACTTGATTTTTTTTATATATATATATATTATCTTTTTTATATATTTTATATTATTAAGTTTTATATAAAACTTAACTGAGATTCCAATACAATCTTATTTCTTTTCCTACAAAGCTATCTCGGTCTTCTTTCTGCCCTCTAAGCATTGCTTGAAAAAAATTTCACACTCAAAGCACTAGTTTATAAACCTGGCCAATTTTGCACCACTATTGAACATGTTCATAGCACATGACTCCTCTCCTCCAATAGTATTGCACCACCTGTTTGGTGCAGCTAGCTCAATCCTCACATTCTCAATTGGCACTACATCATTTAGATGTGTGTGTTCTCGTGTGGCTACCATTTCTAATTGAGCTTCTTTGCTATATAAAAAACTCTTTTTTTTTGTTCAACAGTTTCTAAATTCTGTGATTGCATTCAGCTGTTCTAACAGTTTTTTTGCACTTGTTTTTTGTTCCTGAATGCTAAGTAAACTTAGTATGAATTTGATGCTCAATGTATCAAATATAGAAGTTCCTGTTATAGTCGACAATGTTACTGTACAACTTCTCAAGACTTGGCTTCAATGTTATCTGCAGAGGAGGTACAGGCTTTAATTTGCAGGGAGCTAGATTCATATGTTCAGCCAGCGATTTCTTCTCATTTTCAACCTGGCGATGTTTCTAAGGAAGAATATAATCAAGAAGAAGACAATTTGGACTCTCTTTTTCTGTGACCTTCTTATTTGGTCAGTCATAATCTACTCCTTCTCAAGAGATTTCGCCTTCCACCCCTTTTTAAAGCTTATTAATCAGGTATGTGTATTTTACATGTTTCTCCTATCACCTATGATGCCTCCACTTCCTTATTGGGTGAAATTCCTTCTTCAGAATTTATGTTTTCCCCCCTTCACTCGACATTAGGTTTTATGCTCAGATTTTCAGACCAACTTCATTCAAGTGTTGGTATGCCCTGTCTCCCTCGCTTGTCAGACTAACATACTTTGGCATACTATCGCTTTTCAGATCTATATTTAGATTCTCAACAATTGGATCCTCTACTTTTCCTTTGGGGTTCGAATTTGGGAGCAACTGTTAATTTTACTCAGGTTCAGTTCTCAATTATTCAATTTTCCCTCTCCTCTCTTGAACTTTTTACAGATGAACTAAGACCCTGCTTTGGTCCACTATGGTTCATTTATCGGCCTCTACTCTTTCCTTTAATACCCGGCTCATATGCCAATGGGACTTGTTTGGGAGAGATACATTACTTGCAGGGTTGAGTCTCCCCCCATTCATTGCTATGGGATCTTCATCAGATCCCCTTCCTACACAATACTGTGTTAGGGGGTTGTCCTGATTCCTTGGAATCCAGGATTGATGTGGCTAGTTTGCATTCTTCCATGTCTTCTCTTCTCACACATTTATTTCTTCCTCCCATGAGTTGTCTGGCCTTGTTTCCCTTTCTTCTTCTTCTTTGCACAGGTCCTTCCCTTCCTCCTGGCACTACAGACCCTATCCTTGTTACTTCTGCATCCAGGTTGATTGATGCCAGATTTCTCCACTTTTCTGTCGTGTGACATCATTTCCCTACAGATCCATGGGTTCTACAGGTTCTGTCAGGAGGTCTCTGCCTTCAGGTCTGAACCCCACTTCCACTTTCCCATTCTCCTATTTCCTTCTAACCCCCACAGGATCCTACATCTCTCGGTCATTTTACCGAGTCTTTCCATAACCTGCTCTGCAAAGAGGCTCTTGAATGGGGTTTACAACTGGGGTTTAATTCCTATCTCTTTGTGGTCCCAAAGAAGACGGGAGATTAGAGACATATCATCAATCTATCCCAGTTCAATTCCTTTCTGGATTACCCCTTGCTTCACTATGGAGCTCTGTCTCTCACTTTGGTGGGTGTTTTCCCTGGGACTTTCAATGATCAAATTTATGTGATGGACACCTATCTTCATGTTGCCATTGATCCCGAGTAAAGTCATTATCTTTGCTTTACAAAGAGGCTCGGGTGTTTCAGTTCAAAGCCCTGCCTTTCAGACTAACCCAAGCTCCTTATGTGTTTCATCAAGTGGTACAAACATTTGCACACTTGATAGGTCTTTTCACTCATCATTACATGGACAACTGGGTCCTTTTCACTTCTTCCTCTTCACATTCCAGAGACTACACTCATCTAGTTGTTCATTTGGGGGTTTTCTTCAATTCCAACCTCATTCAGGACAAGCCTTTTTCTCTTCATCCTCGAGATATGAAGGAAGCAGTCCACAAGGCACTAACCTCACAATCTCTCTCAGCTCGAGAGCTTTTATTTCTTTTTGCAGATGTGGGCTTCCTTGGAGGTTCTCATTCCCATGGGTCAAACTCATATATGTTCCCTTCAGTGAACACTCCTCAATCAGTAGATCTTCTTCTCAGATCCCTTGGACCACCATTCCCCTTCCTTCCCCAATCAGGGCCGACCTGACATGGTAGATAGACATGGATCAGACCACGGTGGGGGGTCCACTTCCTCCACCTTATCAGGATTTATGTTTGTTCATAAATGCATCTTTAAAGGATTGGTGTGCTTACATCAACTCTCGGGAGATTTCTGGTCTCCGGCCAGTTGAGAAGTCTTGTCTCTCTATCAACATTCTCAAACTTATGGTGATTCATGGAGCTTTGTCCCTCTTCTTTCCTCGCTTGCAGGGGAGGATGGTTATGGTACACTCTGAAAACTCCACAGTGGTCACTTATATTGCCAAACAAGGGGAACCAAATCTAGGTCTCTGTGCTTTCAGACCCTGGATCTCCCTTTCTACACCCACAGTCACCACATGATGTTCTTAGCTTGACATGTTCCTGGTGCTCTGAATCTGGTTCATTTATATCGACTAAACAAGATTCTCCCCATGGAATGGTCCCTTGATCCACAGGTTTTTTGGTGGGGTGCTCACATCTGGAGACTCCTCATATCAATGCTTTCACCACCCACTGGAATAACAAACTTCCTTCATTCTGGTCTCCCATTGCACACCTGCTAGATTGGGAGTGGATGCATTCAGTGAAGATTGGAGGGGTCATCACATCTATGCTCACCCTCCTATTCTGTTCCTCCTCAGAGTTCTATTCCTAATCCAAGCCACTCCCGGTGGCTCTGTTTAGGCCGGTGCAACAATGGTTCCCACTGCTCTGACCTTTACTTGTGCAACCTCTACTGCCCTTACCCCTCTCATTCTCTGCTCCATCAACCCAGGTTGGACATTGTTCATCCAGACATCACCTTCTTCCATGTCTATTTACTAGAGGCAATAGTCTATCTTCTGCATTTGGTCTCTTCAACATGGTTTCCATCCTTCCCAACCTTTCATTCTTTATCTTTCCCAATTCTTCATCTGCTTGTTTGACTATGGCTTGTCCACTTCCACTGTGTGTAGCTATCAGGTGGCCTTGTCAAGCACCTTCCATTGCTCCAAGTTTCATAAGGTTTTGTCTTCCCCTTCTTTTTCTGCTCCTTTTGGGCTATGCATCCTGATGGTTTGAATTGCTTGATTGGGATATCAGTGTGTTCCTTTTTGCCCTTTCCCATCCTCTTTCTTTGAACCTTTGTTTACATGTTCCATATACTATTTCTACCTCAAGACCTATTTTCTTTTCCTCCTCACATGTGGATGTCATCAGTCAGGTATTTATGCCATTAATGTTACCTAAATCCTCTACCTGTCTGGTTTTCACACACATTTTCTTACCTTCCATCTCCCACCTGTACTCCCATTCTGATCTAGATCAACTTCTTTGTCTGGTTTGCTCCTTATAGTGTTATGCAGCTTCCTTTTGGGGTTCACGTTCCCGACGACTCTTCCCTGAAATACATTTGTTTCTCATGATTTATTCCCTGACACACTAACTGGTTGGGTTCGTCAACTTGTTAGGCTGGCGTATTTGACTTACTCCTGGAAGGTTGCCATATTCACAACATTTTTTCTCATCAGATTCATCATATCACCATGTCTTTTCACCTTCACCATCCTTTGGAGGAGATCATTCAGGCAGGAATCTGGACTACTCCCAGTACCTTCATTGCTCATTACCTGTACAATCTGGCCATATCTTCCTTAGGTGGATATCATTTCTCTCCCATGGCAGTTCTACACATGTCTGTTTGCCTATGACTAGGGTTAGTTCTTATCATTTCTTTTCACTTATGTTTCTTTTCAGAGACCCTTTTTTACCACTGATAATTGTTTCCTACTCTGTGGTGGGTGTTGCCTGGTCGGGTATGCTTTGCTTCAAATCTGCACTATTTATTGATTGCACCATAATGCTCACTGTAGAGATGGTATGTTCCACAAGACCACTGATGGCATCTACAGTGATATATATCTACAGCCCTTTTTCTATAGTTGTGTGCAGTAAAGGTGTTCTTCTCATGAATTCTAGTTGCTAGTGGTTCCTTCCCTTTTCCTACACTTGAGTTTTAGGGTCTTCATCTGCCTCATAATACCGGCAACGGGATGTATGTACACTGTCCCTACAGTTGAGCAAGTGTTCCATATCTTCCTCATAGTTCCAGATGACGGATGTCTCTTCCCTGCATTTTCAGTTGGGTTTTAAGATTTCGGCTGTTAATACTGGT